CCACGGCAAAAGGCGGAGCAGGGTTTGGGGGGGGGGGAGGAGAATGGATTTTTTCAAAAAACCCATTTTCTTTAATGTTAGTGCAAGCAAGCTCCGGCTAGCTAATGAAGACCTGTCATTTATTTTGTTTTCCGTTTGCTTTGCATGCCATCGTGCAATTTAAAGTGGCAATGCATCCCCACCCCCACCCCACCCTGCCCTCAGGAATGGGACAGAGCTGTCCCGAGGTAGAACAGTCAAGTAGTCCAAGCACAGCTCGTATTTAGAGATGTTAGATTTGGAAGGAGAGAGAAAGAGAGACCATGCAAATGTGCTCTTGATGGGGGGGGGGTGATGTGAGGATTTTAAAGGAGCAGAACAATCTTAGTTTTCAGAATTGCAAAAAAAAGGGGGAGGCTCCAGATTCTATGACAGCGTGAGTGCCTCTGATTGAAATAACAGAGGGGTGTAAAAAAATTTGGGGGGGGGGGGGAGAGATCTGAGCACTTGGTCCCCAGTAGCCGCAAAAGATTTGCATGTAGCCATGGATCAGATGGTGCTTGCCAGTTAACTTAAAAAACAAAGCCAAGCCAAAAGCCAGAACCTTCCCAGTGAGCCTGACCAATAGGGACTATCTAGTCCAAAGTTTTCAACAACAGCCTGCCAGATGCCTCTGGGAAGCACATGAGCCCTAGATCATTAAGGCATTCTCCTCTTATGTTGCCCAGCCTCAAGTGCTCAGAGGTAGACTGCCTCTGAACATGGTGGTTCCATTTTGCTTTGTTGCCATTGGCAAAACTCTTATCTTTGTGTACTTATACATTCCCCATTATCTGTCTAGCACTTTTCCTCCAATGAATTCAGGGCAGCGTCAACAGTTCTTGCCTTCCCATTTTATCTCCCCAACAGCCCTCTGAAGTAGGTTAGGATGAGAGAGAGTAACTGGTCCAAAGTCATACAATGTGCTCCATTGCCAGAGCAGGAATTTGAACTTGGGCCTCTCAGGTCTAGTCCAATGACTAGATCACACTGGCTGTGCCATGAACGATAACAAGGCGCTTTCGTCTGTCCTAAATACTTTCATAAGGGAAGAGCTAATACACATGTGCCTGTACGTGTGTGAGGGGAAACAGCTACCAGAAAAAAGAACTACCAAGAGGTACTTCAAAGGATGACAACTTTATTGTGGCAGAAGCTTCCACGGACCAGGATCGACTTTGTCAGATGCATGAAGTATTACCCTTCATGCAGTGTGCTTCATGCATCTCGACCACATGGGTTCTGGCTTCCAAAAGGTTATCCCATCATAAATTTGCTAGTCTTTAAAGCACTGGGAGATTATTTTATTTTGAGAACAATTGCCAACATTTTCAGTGTAGGAAAATGTCACCTGTGAAGTGACTCTTCAACTGTGGTTATAACTTTGGCATTTTAAATAAGCTGTAATGCATTGTTTCCTTTGATAAAG